AAAAAAAAAAAAAAAAAAAAAAAAACAGAAGGAATATGAGGGGACTAATTGCAGAAAAACTAGATGCCCTGTTAACTTTTTTTATATTTTTGTTTTTGTTGTTTTGTTGTGTTGTGTTGTGCTGGGATTACAGATGTGTGCCACCATACCCGGTTTCTCTGAACTCTTCTTGGTCTTTATCCTTTAGCCCCCAAGTGGGCCTTACCTTTAAAGTGTCTGCTTTGAGTAAACTAAGACTTCTTGGAATTCAGGTCCTGAAAGATTTTATAAGGTACGCAAGCAGAGGAGGAGCTCTGGAAGGATGCATTTGTGGTCTGGATGTGTCCAGGCCACTAACCTATGTGCAACTGGCGAAGTGGTCCCAACCTCTCATGGGACAGGGGAAAGGAAGCCACTGGCCAGGAGCTCAGCTCCAGGGCACAGCTGCCTGCTTCTGAGAGACAAATCAGCTTCTCTGGGCCTCATTTCTCTCCTGTGCCCAGTGGAGATTGCAATGGACCTGCCTCACGGGGTTATAATGAAGACCACGTGGCTTGACAAGGAGGGGTCCATGACCCAAGGCTGAACCATTTCAGTCTTCTCCAAGGATTTTTTCTGACTGGAACTGGTGGAAAAGGACATAGCACTCTATGATTTCATAGCTGTTGGTACGGAAACCAGGCCAAGAAGCTACCCCATTTCTGAATGACTGGAAAAAGTGATAGCATAGGAAGAGAATAAGAGGTTGACAAGAAAACAGAACAGATGGCGGGAGAGATGGGAGGGCAAGTCCTGACAGCTTTCCGTCTTCGGAGCTCGTGTCCCTGAAGTCAACTCCCTTCGTCAGACTTTCAGTGGTAAAATAATAATCTTTCCTTTATCACCTAAAGTTGTTTGAATTGGGTTTCTGAAGAGTTCTGAAGAGTTGAAAGAACTCAGAATTTCTCAAGATAAAAATTGTTGGGGCCGGGGATTTAGCTCAGTGGTGCCATTGCCTCCCTTTCAAAGGACGGGTCCTGAGTTCGATCCCCGGTACCAAAAAAACAAACAAACAACAACAACAAAAAAAACAGTTGTTAAATGGCAAATGGGTTCCAAGAAAGAACCCCGTTCCTTCCTTCCTTCCTCCGTTCCTTTCTTTTTGCAGGACTAGCGACTGAACCTAGGGCCTCCACACTCAGCTACATCCCCAGCTCTGTTTTTATTTTTTAATTTTGGGACAGGGTCTTGCTAACCTGCTCAGACTAGGCTTGAACTTGCAGTACTCCTTTCTGCCTAAGGCTCTCAGAGTGTGGGAATGCAGGTATGCATGCCTGGCCAAGAAGGGTTTTTTTTTCTAGGAAATTCTCTAAGAATAGAAAGGACTGGGGCCAGGGATTTGGCTTAGTGGCACCGCGCCTGCTTCACAAGAGCATGGTCCTGAGTTTGATCACTCGTACTGTCAAAAAGAAATTCCAGAAAGGACAATCTGGTGTGGTGGCACACAACTGTAATCCCAGCATGCAAGAGGCTGAGGCAGGAGGATTGACATGCGTTCCAGACCAGTCTGGATTACTCAGTGAAACCCTATCTTAAAAAAATATTTTTAAAAAGGACAATTTTTTTTTTTTTTTTTTTTTTTTTTTTTTTTTTTTTTTTTTTTTTTTTTTTTTTTTTTTTTTTTTTTTTTTTTTTGAGACAGGGTTTCAAGCTGGCTTTGAACTCACTATGTAGCCCAGACTGGCCTCAAAATTGCAACAATATTCATACCTCAATCTCCCAAATGCTGGGTTTACAGCTGGGCACCACCAGCCTTGGTGATTCTTCTCTCAAAGGGCTCAACCCTAGATTTTTTTCCCCCTATAATTTCAAAAGCAAGTGACCAAAAAGAAATCACTCAACACCCTTATCACCTCCCTGAGGAGACAAATATGTATGATTCTAACCTGGTATATTAAAATGGGCATAAAAGTTGGGTGTGGTGGTGTATACCTGTGATTCTGGTACTTAGGAGGCTGAGGCAGGAAGACAGCTTCAAGTTCCAGGCCAGCCTAGGCTACAAAGTGAGTTGAAGACCAGCCTAAAGTACAGTGAGACATATGTGTCTCAAAAAAAAAAAAAAAAAAAAAAAAGGGCACAAAAGAGGAAGACTCAGGAAAACGCTTTTTCTTTTCAGAAGAAAACTGTACAAATATGGACAGTTAACTAACAATGAACCTCCAGAGCTGTTATTCTACAGAAATAAACTCTAGCCACCCACTTAGTCAAGTACCCTGGATTGCTTCAGGCAGATGAACCCCAGAGCAGAAAGTATGTTGGAAAATTAGTAAGCGCCTTGAACAGTTGATCTTTGGGGGGCGGGGTTGAGACAGGGTTTCACTGTGTAGTTGAGACTGACCTGGAACTCACTATGTAGCCCAGGCTGGTCTCAAACTCAAAGTGATCCTCCTGCCTCAGCCTCCCGAGTGCTGGGATTACAGGCGTGCGCCACCATGCCCGGCTCACTTGATCTTTTTCATCCAGTTATTTCTGCACGCCTTTTCTCCTCTGAGTAATCTTTCGTCACTTACTCTTCAGGGAACCTGAGGCTTGCATTGCCTTCTGAGAACCTGCAGTGCCTCATTTGGATAGGATTGTACATGACTTTTACTTCCCACATTAAAAGTTTCTGAATTGTTCCAGATTTTTATGAATAAAGCTACTTTTATAATCAGAAAAATATATAAATATTCATTAAAAAAAAAAGTTTGCTGGGCCTGGTGGCGTACACCTCTAATCCAAGCACTTGGAAGGCTGAGGTAGGAGGAGGATGGCTTTGATTTCAAGGCCAGCCTGGGCTACACAGTGAGAGAACTTGTCTCAAAAAAAGCACCAAAAAAAAAAAATTTTTTTTTTAATCCTCTGGGTCTCTGAGGTCTCCTTGAACCAATCCCTCCCTTCCAGCTTCTCTCTCCCTGCTGACCGCTTCCTCCCACGTTGCTCTTTAAACTTCCACCATAGTGGGCTGTCTAAAGGACTAGCCTCTTAAGGCTAAGTCTGAACCATCCCCAGCTATGCCCCAGCAAAGATATACAAAGCCTCCAAAAAGCTTGCCCTTGCTGGGGCCGGACTCCAGTGTGCTCCTATCACCAAGGTCACAGGGATTCAGACACCCGAGTGGGTCCTAAAGTGAGTGGTGCAACATCACCTCACTGGCTGTCTCTCACTGTATCCTCACTCCTGTTTTAGCAACAGCAGAATCAGTAACACATTCTCTACAGGCTTTTTTTTTTTTTTTTGCAGAGGTTGCTTTGAGACAAGGTCTTGCTATGTAGCCCAGGCTGGCCTTGAACTCACAGCGATCCTCCTGCCTCAGTCTCCTGTGTGCTGGGATTATAGGCGTGGCCCCCCATGCCAGGTTCTACAGGCCTTTGATACTGGTTGTCTTTGTGTGCTGCATGTTGGCTGAGTCGACCATCTGGCATTTCTCACCAAAAGCAGCCCCAGAGTGACTGTCATATAGGAGTGAGTTCCAGTGGTTGCTGAAGGGAAAGCAGAACATGCTAAGGAGGAAGAAAGGCTGCACCGGAGTAATCCTGTGCCCCAAAAGACCGTTCTACCCAAGGCAGTGTGTTCCTTACCTGATTTTATTGCGCAATGACTAGAATCATCTCAGATCTGCACTCCTGGTGGCTCTCAGTTAAACACAATTTACTGGGCTGGGGATTTAGCTCAGCCGTTCTGCCGCCTGCCTCATAAGCGCAAGGACCCAAGTTTGATCCCCGGTACCAAAAATAAAATACAAATATAAACACAATTCACTGCACTAATGTACCATACAAAATCCAGGCTGGGGATGAGCTCAGTGGGAGAGCACTTGCCTATCGTGCACGAGGCCCTGGGTTCAACCCCTACTGCCGGGAAACAACCAGACAAAATGTACGTGCTAACGACTGGAACGGGGTAAACCTGAGGAGAGGTGTTCAATGTCGGGAAAGGAAGAGATCAAAACGTCATCAGTAATGGGTCACATTGTGGTGCATTGGGTGACTTCCTCTTCTGAAAATTTTAAATTAATTCATCTTTCAAAATGTATCTTTTGGTGTTCAGGTGGAAAAGGGGAGCAAGGGAGGAGGAAGGAACCAGAGAACAAAGTGAAAATAGAAGGAAAAATGGAAACAAAGCTTTTGTACACAGGGAGGGGAGGGGGCTTGAGGGGGCAGGGCTAAAACAAAATTTTAAAAAAATTTGTTTTTTGGCATCGGAGATTAAACTCAGCAAGCTTGATTTCAAGCTTGATTGAGCTTGCAAGGCAGGCAGCGGAACCACTGAGCGACATCCTCAGCCCAAATAAATGTTTTTAAAATAAGTGTTTAAAATTAAAAAATAAAATAGCAAAATTTAAAATTTTTTACCTTTTAAAGTAATTTACCTTGTTTTTTTTAAAAAAAGGAGAAGTTGAGGAGGACAGAATGCTGCCTGCCACCTTGAAACCTGACTTTCCAGGTCTAGGACAGTGAAATGCGTGTAGCCCAGAACGACTCCTCTCAAGCCGTGCGCCGGGACAGAGCTTGGCAGAATACACGGACATGCTCTTCAAAGTACCTTCAAGTGTAATCCTTTTATTTGTTTTCTAATTCCTGAGGATTGAACCAGGGCCTTGCACATACTAGGCAAGCACTCTACCACAAAACTACATCTCTATCACCCCCGCTGTTTTTTTTAAACTCAACTTTAATTTACTTTATGTACGCATCTTTGGGTAATTTTTTTTGGTTTGTTTGTTTGTTTTTGTTTGTTTGTTTTTGACACAGAGGCTCATTGCGAAGTTCAAACTGGCCTTGAACTCTATGCTAGCCTCAAGCTCGCAGTGATTCTCCTGCCTCAGCTTCCTGAGTGCTGGGATTACAGGTGTGAGCCATTGCACCTGCTATTAATTTTTACTTTAAAATACTGTCAAACTAAGTTTCCCAGCCTGGCCTGAAATTTGGGATCCTCCTGCCTCAGCCTCCCGAGCAGCTGGAATTACAGGTGTGCGTCACAGTGCTCAGCTAATTCTTCCTTTTGTAGATGAGGAACCAGACAAGAGAGATCAAGAGGCTTCCACACCTGCATAGCTTGTTTGTGGTAGAGAGAAAAAGAGAGCTTGGGCTTTTACCAAAAGAAGGAACGATTTTTTTTTTACAGTGTAGTACAGTGATTTTTTTTTTTTTTTTTGGAAGCAAAACAAATACTAGGCCAAGTGTGGTGGAGCATGCCTATAATCCTAGCACTCAGGAGGCTGAGGCAGGAGGATCGCTGTGAGTTTGAGACCAGCCTGGGCTACACAGTGAGTTGCAGGTCAGTCTCAACTACATAGTGAGACCCTGTCTCAAAACAACAACAGCAACAACAAAAAACTCAAAAAACAAATACTGGTACAATTTAGATATACACAATGATAACATTCATCATAGGGAATTTGCAGCTGTACATGATGTATATTTTTCCCCATTTCCCTCTTCCTTTGACCCCTCTTCCCCTCTTTATATACAAAAGCTTTGTTTTCATTTTTGCCTTGTATTTTCACTTTGTTCTTGTCCCTCCCTTCCTTTCCCCCTTCCCCGCCCTTGTCCCCCTTCTCATCTGAACATTTTCTTCCCGTTTCCCAGTATCAAGTATACATTTTAGTCCTCATTTTCACTTTTGGTTTCTCAGACCAGAGAAACAATGCAGTATCTCAACATGTGTATTTGATTCACTTCACTTAAGAGTATGGTCTCAAGGTGCAGCCATTTATCCTGGAAACATCGCATGCTCACCCTTCTTTATGGCAGAGTAGGACTCCATTATACCAAAAAACCCACATCTTCTTTATCCATTCATCGGTTGATGGGCATTTGGGCTGTTTCCAAGATTTAGCTGTTACAAAGTGTGCTGCTGTAAACCCGGGTGTGCATGTCACTTGTCTTGCTGCCACTACTACTACATTTTAGACTCATTCTATAGCTCTCTTCCCAGTCTCTTCCCCATCTCTCTCTCCTTTTTTTTTGAGACAGACTATGTAGTGCAGGCTGGCCTGGAACTCTCGCTGATCCTCTTGCTTTAGCCTCTTGAGTGCAGGGATTACGGCATGCGCCACCACGCCCGGCTGAAAGTTTTTTGAATTTCATTTTTATTGGCTTACATAGACCAGTGAGAGAACACATGCATCCTTGTTTACAAGTTTATTAGACCTGCTGTGGGCCCATCTCTGGCCCCCTTCTGGAAGCATTCAACTTGCAGCCTGTCTTATCTACTCCCAGGGTGTAGCCCCGTCCAGCAGCCTGCGGAATTTATGGCACCTCAGTTCTCTCATTGGAGTTTTCTGTCCAAGGTGTGGATAATGTAAACTTATGTCCTGGTTTTATCAGATAAATGACCTTCAGCCCCATTCTTGAGACCCAGCCCTGCCTTGGACTCCAGACCCAAGGAGTGCTGCTTAATGTTCACTCCTGACAGGCTTCCCGGTCTCCTGATCTCCCACGATGGAGGCTGGCCTGCTCCTTCTGGTCTCCCTTCCTGGGGACGGGAACACCCCTGAACTTTAGCTTGGTGGCTAGAATTCTGCTATATGCCGGTCAGATTTATCTTGTGTCTGAAAATTTTTAAAATTATTATTTGTTTGTTTATTCATTTTTTTTTTTTAACCCAGGACCTTCACATTGAGCTACATCTCTAGCCTTTTTATTTTTCATCTTGATGCAAGGTCTTCCTGTCACTAAGTTACCCAGGGTGGACTCAAATTTGCAATCCTCCTGCGTCAGGCTCCCAGAGAGCGCTGGGATTACAGCAAATACCACACCAGGCTGTGTTTGAAATTATCAACTCTAGGCCACCACAGGACTCAAGTCAAACCCAAATCGTTTCCCACAAACGGAATGTTTTCTCAAGAACAGCGCAACCCTGGGCTTGGGATTGAGGTCAGTGGTACCATCATCCACCTGCCTCATAAGCTGAAGGTCTGGAGTTTGATCCCCAGTACCAAGAAACCACACCAGATCCCTGGTGTGAATAATCTGCAACAATGCATAAGATTCTAATAAGTTGTAGGGAAGGTGGGATGGGTAGGGGAAGAGTAAAAAGGGAAAAGAAAAAAATGTGAGAGAATGAAAAGATGAAAATAAAGTATTTGTAGATGGGGAGGGGAGGAGGGGGTGCAGGGAGGGCAGGGACAAGGGGAAAAAATAAGAACCAAGACCTGTCATGTAGAGGTACAAGATCCCAACAATGAATGTAACTGTACTGTATCCCTAAAATGTACCAATAAACTCAATTAAAGCTGGAAAAAAAAAAGAAAGAAAGAAAAGAAACCACACCAGAAAATTCATAGTGTAATGAGCCCTCAGTGGACAATATTCATCAGTGACAGATCGTGCAGCGCCTGCAGAATGAATTCAGTCCCAGCCAGACTGGTTTAAGACTGTCCCATTCAGTGACAGCATGTGTAAGAGACACCCATATGGCCCACCTGGAGTTATTTCCTCTAGTCTGACATCGTAGTTTTCTTTCTCTAACTCAGTCCATGGAGTTTTGGAAGGGTCGACTCAAACCTCGGCTCCGGACCTGGCCATTCAGATTCACATCACACTCCTCAGACACGATGGTTATGTCAGGCGTTTACTCATGACTAAGGCTGGACCAAAGACAGGTTTTCTTAGGAACTGACCGGAGCTGTTAGGAAAGAGGCACTTACTACTGGGGTTACTAAGCTGGCTCCACCCTGGAGCTGCGGGTGTCCATCTCGTCATCACCCAGGGAGGGCTGCCTGGGAGTGAAGTCAGGAAAGCAAAACTGAAAGAGGGACAGATTTGCTCTGACACTGATCCAATCCTAAAGCTAGTACTCTGCGGGGGACTCCCTGGTTCACTAATCCACATGATCACTGGTATTGTGTAAGTCAGTCTGACTTGGACGTCCAGAACTTGCAGCCAACACAGCTGGCCAGAGAGAATGACCAGCACTTACTTCTGCTTTACTAGCTGGGTTGGCCTCTAGGGAAGAAACGTACCCAAGAAAAGCAAGTTAAAAAGATAAGCTAAAAAACATCCTGTGGGTAGGGGTTGTAGTTCATTTGGTAGAACAAACTGCCTGGCATGGTCTGCCTAGCATGACCATGGCTCTGGGTCCTATTCCAGTCACCACAAAGGAAAAAAAAAAGCATATTATTTCATTCACTCAACTATGCCTTAAGAAATGCGGTAACGTAATACAACAAAAACACAAGCTTAGGAGCTCCTCAGAGTGCTACTTGAATCTAAAATCTCCTATTTTCTAATTACGTATACTGCTCATGTTAATTAATGCCCTGAGCCTCTTCCAGGGTGGTGAACATCTATAATCTCAGCACTAAGGAGGCTGAGGCAGGAGGATCACAAGTTTGAGGCTAGCCTGGGCAGTTTAGTCTGACCTTATCTTAAAATAAAATTTGAGGACCAAGTGTGGCAGCAGGTGGATCACTGGATCACTGTGAGTTTGAGGCCAGCCTGGGCTACATAGTGAGTTCAGGGCCAGCTTGAACTATAAATCCAGATCTTGCCCCCCAACATACACACAAATCAGTCTCTGCTGCAGACAAAGAGATGCACCGGTCAGATTCCCATTCAAGAAAGGAGCGCGGCCAGCTCTCAGCCTCCAGCTGTTCACCTCTTGGCCTGTCTCAGCTTCCCAGGTCTCTTGTGGAGTAGCCTTACCCAGTGACTGTGCAAAGCAGTGGTCCGTAGGTCTCACAGGAGGCCTCCGACGGGCAATCCTGGCTCCAGAGATCCCCACGGGGCCGCAGAAAGTCTGGATTCTGACGCTCCATCTGTCCAATCCACTTCCTCTCCTTTCCCTTCATAGGTGCTATTCCCCAAATTTGTGCCTTCCTAACTTCAGCTCAACATCTGCTCTCTAGAGAACCTACTACCAAATTTGTTTTTCTTTTCTTTTGAAAGAGGGTCTCACTATGGTTCAGGCTGGCCTTACACTCACTGTGCAGCCTACACAGACCTTGAAATCACTATGTATCCCAGGCTGGAGTGGAACTCTCAGATCATCCTGCCTCTGGCTCCCAAGTGCTGGGACTGCAGGTGTGCCAACACACCCGGCTTTCTTGACTTTATAATCCTAAAATTCTTGACTCTATAATCCTAATTCCCAGAGATAAACACCATGAACATTCTGATGCATTCCTTCTAGTCTGTTTCCTTTTTTTTTTTTTTTTTTTTTTGGTTTTTTGAGACAGGGTCTCACTACGTAGTTGAGACTGACCTGGAACTCACTACATAGCCCAGGCTGGTCTCGAACTCACAGCGATCCTCCTGCCTCAGCCTCCCGAGTGCTGGGATTACAGGCGTGCGCCACCACACCTGGCCTAGTCTGTTTGCTTTTATGACATGTTTTTTTTTCATTAATTTTATTTTTTACTTTTAAATTTTCTCCTCTTTTGAGTGGAGTGTACTGGCCTATAATCCCAGCACTTTGCTGGAGGCAAAAGGATCTCAGTGAGTTCAAGGTCAGTGTGGGCTACACAGTGAGTTCACAGCCAGCTCTGCACTATACAATAAGACCTTGACTGGAGAAGCAAAATCAAATGAAAATGTCCCCCTTTTAATTAGTGCTATATGTATATTTGCTATACATAATAAATACATTCATTGTGGGGAATTATTACATATACATATTACATCTTGACCCCTTCCTCTCCTCTCCCTCCTGTCTCAACTACAAAATGAAATAATTCTACAAAATGTCTTTTTTTTAAGATCACAATGTGAGGTCCAGAAGTGTAAT